ATTGGCAGGACAAGGAGGCTAGAGTAGAGATATTCACAACTCTACAGCTAAGCAAACAGGGTTCAGGGGGCACAGTGAAGAAAGAGCCTGACCACGTGACTTTATAGGGTAGATTATAAAGAGAGAGGAAGGAGAACGATCAGCTGGGATCCTGAGCTAATGTTCTCGTGATGGGTCATTCAGGTAAGTTAAGTTATACCTGGTACCTGCATTCTGGGCCAGAGTCTATTATCATTCGTTGCATGAATGATAATGGTCTGTACCAGATGCTAATGGGAGCGGAGTGGGGAGATGGGAGATTGGGGGGAGGGGGGAGTGAAAGAGATAACATTAGAGGTAAGTTTTGACAGACTGTAATTAGCTAGGAGATGAGTGTGGAGAGGGCTTTCTAGAAAGAGGGAACTGTGTCTTGGGCCAGAATCTGTAAGAGATGGAGGAAAGGTGAGTTATTTTGCAAAGGAGACTCTTGGAATGAACCCCTTTTCTTGCCTTTCACATCACTTAAAGGTAGTCACTGGAGTGGTCTGATCACTATGCTGGGCAGTGTGAACATTGGGGTGGGAGGGGGTCTAGCAGAACTCTAGAGCGGAGCCCACCCAGGAATAGGAGATGCATTTTGGCATCAATGGTATGTCATCCAGTGCTTCCGAGCCACGTCTGCAGTGAAGAGGCTATTTCCTAAGAGAAAACTAGTAGGAGCCAAGACCGGTTTGGCTCAATGGATAGAGCGTCGGCTTGGGGACTGAAGGACCCGGGTTCGATTCTGGTCAAGGGCATGTACCCTGGTTGGGGGCATATCCCCAGTAGGGAGTGTGCAAGAGGCAGCTGGTCGATGACTCTCATCGTTGTTTCTAACTATCTCTCTCCCTTCCTCTCTGTACAAAATCAATAATAAATATATATATATATATATATATATATATATATATATAATATTTCTCTCTGTCCCTCTCTCTTCCTCTGTAAAAAATCAATAAAATATATTTTTTTAAAAAAAAAGAAAGAAAGAAAACTAGTAGGAAATAGCACATCTTTATGTCCACTGGTCATGAGAGAGCTTAGTGAAGTGATTGGATGAGTATGTAATGGTACTGTTAAGTAACATTTTAAAGGCAAATGTATTTCTGCTTGAGAACCCGTCTCTTCAAACCTGTTATTTAGGGAAGGTTCACTTATTCTCAGGCGCTGCTGCCATTGTTCTGTCTTTGTAACTCCACTTTGGGAAAACGCAAACCTTTATGGCACACCTTTAAATGTCCTCAGCGTTGGCAGAACTGCCTTTTGAGGAAACTTTTTTAGCAGTCAAAGGTCACCTAGAGCTGAGATAGAGGAATAGCAACTCTAGAATCCACCTACTTTTCTCCACACATGTTGTTGCTGCAAGCCTTTTTCATCTGGAATATTGGCACAGCTGCAGATGACCTCTGCTGCCAGTACTTCATTCTCCAATCCAGTTTCTACACTATCTCATTCATTTAACAAATTAAGATACTCGGTCTCAGGTATTTTGCTAAATCAGTGGTGGGCAAACCGTGGCTCTTTGGCCCCTTGAGTGTGGCTCTTCCACACAATACCACGTGTGGCCGCACACGTACAGTGCGAATGAAGCTTTGTGGCCCATGCACAGAAGTCAGTTTTTGGCTCTCAAAAGAAATTTTAATCGTTGTACTGTTGATATTTGGCTCTGTGGACTAATGAGTTTGCTGACCACTGTGCTAGATATTGAAGGAACTCATAGTCTGGCTGTGGAGATTTAATTAGTATTAAATCTTTGTTTAAGAAGTGTTAGGATTGGAGGGTCTCTTAGTGACATTTGAGACAAATACTAAAGGATAAACAGGTAAGCAGGCAAAGGAAAAGAAGGGAGAAAGTCAGTGTTACAAGTAGAGGGAAATAAGTGATAACCCAAAGGAAGTAATGGCCGGCACCGGTTTGGCTCAGTGGATAGCGCGTCGGCCTGCGGACTGAAAGGTCCCGGGTTCGATTCCGGTCAAGGGCATGTACCTTGGTTGCAGGCACATCCCCAGTAGGGGGTGTGCAAGAGGCAGCTGAATATAACTAACTCTCTATCCCTCTCTCTTCCTCTCTGTGAAAAATCAATAAAATATATTAAAAAAACAAACAAAAAAAAACGAAGTAATGGCTAAATGATCACTTGGAAGGTAGGACAAGGAATGTGAAAGAGTGGGAGGCAAGTTTAGAGAAGTCCTAGGCGGTCCTATAAACCATATTAAGGGATTTTGATAGATTTTTAAATAAGACAGTGTCGTCGAAACTGGTTTGGCTCAGTGGATAGAGTGTCGGGCTGTGGACTGTAAGGTCCCAGGTTCGATTCCGGTTGGGAGCATGTACCTTGGTTGCGGGCACCTCTCCAGTAGGGGGTGTGCAAGAGGCAGCTGATTGATGTTTCTATCCCTCTCTCTTCCTCTCTGTAAAAAATCAATAAAATATATTTTAAAAAAATAAGATAGTATCATAATCAAATAAATGTTTTCTAAAGAACACTCTGGGTATTGTGGAGGGGAATATTAGAGTAAGAAAGAGAGAAAGTGGCCAGGAGGCCAAAGCAGTGCTCTATGCCAGTGGGCAGGCCATCTCAATATTTTTCCTCTTTTAAATATATTTTTATTGATTTCAGAGAGGGAGAGGTTCACTCCCTATTTTTCATATATATATATATATATATATATATATATATATATATATATATTATTGATTTTTTTACAGAAAGGAAGGGAGAGGGATAGAGAGTTAAAAACATCAATGACAGCCGGGACCGGTTTGGCTCAACGGATAGAGCGTCGGCTTGGGGACTGAAAGGTCCCAGTTCGATTCCGGACAAAGGCATGTACCTTGGTTGTGGGCACATCCCCAGTAGGGGGTGTGCAAGAGGCAGCTGATCAATGACTCTCTCTCATCAATATTTCTAACTCTCTCCCTTACTCTCTGTACAAAATCAATAAAATATATTTAAAAAAATCAATGACAGAAACATTGATCAGCTGCCCTCTGCACCACCACCACCACCACCACCCCCCCACTGGAAATGTGCCCGTAACCAAGGTACATGCCCTTGACCAGAATCGAACCTGGACACTTCAGATCACAAGCCACCACTCTATCCACTGAGCCAAACGGGTTTTGGCTTTACTCTTTATTTTTCAATGGCTCGAGATAAGAGTGGTTTTTACATGTTTAGTTGATAAAATCTAAAAGATATTTTGTGTTGTAAAAAGTATACGAAATTCAAATTATAATGTCCATAAATAAAGTTTTTCTTTAATCACAGATTTGTTTACTGATTGGCTGTGGCTACTTTCAGGCTCTAAAGTTGAGTAGCTGAGAGAGGATTGTCTGGCCTGCAAAGCTTAAAATATTTATTATCCAGCCCTTGAAGAAAAAGTTTGCCTACTTATGCTCTAAGCAATAGATGATGATGGCCTACAGTAGAGTAGTAGCAGTAGAAATTAATAGATCAAAGGTTCTTAAGACTGATTCAGGGAGGCTTTTAGAAAGTGGAATTGATAGGCCTCCAGTTCTGCCCTTTATAACCCATTCTCTATCAGCAGCCATTAAAAAAAACAAACATTATGTCACTCCCTACTTACAACTCTAAATTACCCTTATCACTATTGCCCTTAGGAAACATTCCCAATAAAATATCCCTAATTTGGCCCTGCCTACCTCTATAATCCAATGTGTTCTAGTTTTATTGGACAACTTTACTTGCATTTTCTCAGACCCTTCTTGCCTGTGGGCCTTACCTAAAACCTCCATGTGCCTGGAATCAGCATTCCACCTTCTCCACTTAACTCCCCAAATGTTTTGTGCTTTTGCAGCACTGGAGTGTTGGGTGTTTGAATTTCCACCTTCATCCCTAGGCTGAATTTAAGAAGGCAGAAACCGGCGAACTAGTCCATCCCCAGAAGATCATATACGCTTAATAAGAAATGAAGGTGGAGGATTTCAGCTACAGCATGTCAGGCAACCTCAATTATGAATCAATTGTGAAACGCCGATAGTAACCCCTGTTTCACGTGGCCGGTGTAAGGATAAAATGCAAGAAAAAATTCCTAGTTTGCTCTATCAACGTGAAGTTAAATCTGATTTGTGGCCAAAAAGACGTGACTACTGAACAAGACAGTCCTCGTGTGCCTTTTGGTAAGATGGATGGGAGAGCAGGTACTCCTGGAATATACCTCCGCCCTCAATGTACCGAGCAGGGACCGCATGGGAGCCCGCGTGGTCCCTCCAAGGTGATCGCTCCGCCAAAAACGGACACTCTTGGGATGCATAGAGTTAAGTTTTTGTTTCATTAACCCTCGGCTGTGCCGCGAGTACACGGCCATTGTAGGAGACAGCTCTTATAGTCGCAGTTATGGTCTGAGGTCTCAAGGACCGTATCCCGAGCAGGGCGGGTGGGAGGCCTCCCTCCCTGGGGCCAAGGTATGGACGAGCACCCTTCCAGTCCCTTCGGGGACCGGGTGATTCCGGCTCAGGATCTGGCCATGCCTTTCTTCAGGCCAGGACACCACCGTGGACGTGCATTCCGCCCGCCCGCCCATGCTACAGCCGCGTGAAAGTCAAGTTCCCTCTGCCCGTCCTCTCGGGTACTCTATGGTTCTCGTGGTGACTCTAATTCTAGTTCCGGTCTCTACGGCGGCGGCGGACGCAGGAACGGTTGTAGGTCGGCAGAATTAACCGCCTGAGAGCCAATGAGCGCGGAGGAGTAAGGAAGCATCAGCCAATACGAGTCCGGACTAGAGGTCAGGTGGCCAGATGGACAGCAATCCTGGCCAGTGAACAGTGCTTAGGGCGGGCCGATCGCAGGGCATATCCCGCCCGTCCCGCCATTCTCGCTAGTTCGATCGGTAGCGGGAGCGGAGAGCGGACCCCAGAGAGCCCTGAGCAGCCCCACCGCCGCCGCCGGCCTAGTTACCATCACACCCCGGGAGGAGCCGCAGCTGCCACAGCCGGCCCCAGTCACCATCACCGCAACCATGAGCAGCGAGGCCGAAACCCAGCAGCCGCCCGCCGCCCCCCCCGCCGCCCCCACGCTCAGCGCCGCCGACACCAAGCCCGGCACCACGGGCAGCGGCGCAGGGAGCGGCGGCCCGGGCGGCCTCACATCGGCGGCGCCCGCCGGCGGGGACAAGAAGGTCATCGGTGAGGAGCCGGAAGGGAACAGGGGTGGGGCCGTAGGAGAGAGCCTGGCGGCGGCGGAACCGTTACCCGAAGCGGGGCGAGCCGGCGGGCGCGTGGCCGGCGGGGGACCGACTCGGGGACGCGCGGCCGCCCCTCCCCCCAGGCCCGCGCCCTCGCGGACGCAGGCCCGCCCGGCCCGCGTGCCCGGCAGGCGCGCGCGCGCACCGCCTCCCGCGCCTCTGGACCCCGCGGCCGTGCGCCCCTTTCCCCCCCGTCCATCCCCCGGGCGGCCGCGCGCCACCGACCGACCGCGTGTGCGGCGCGGCGGCGGCGGCGGCAGGGTCCCTCCCTCCCCGTGGGCCGCGTGCGCCGGGGCCCGCACGCCGTTGTTCCGTCCCACCCCCACCCGCTCCCTTCCGCGTGTACCCGGAGGGCGCGGCGCGCCGCCTACGCAGGCCGGGGTGGGCTGGGCGGCTTCCCCTTCCCTCACGTGCTCCTCCGCGCCCCGCGGGGCCCCCGCCCGCCGCCGCCTCCGCGCGCACCCCGCCGGGGCCCGCGCCCCTCTCGGCGGCGTCCGCGAGCTCTCCCACGTGGACCGCGGAGGCGCCCGGGGTTTTGCCTCGGATCGCGGCCCCGGACCGGGCTCCAAAGAGAAAGAGAAAGGCTGTCAGGTGGCCCCGGGCCGCCGCCACCGGGAAGCGCCCGAGGGACCGGATGCTGAAGCGTGGCGGTTTTGGGAAGGAAAAAAAAAAAAAGTGTGTCTGGTAATCGTGGTTTTTTTCCCTCCCACTCCAGCAACGAAGGTTTTGGGAACAGTAAAATGGTTCAATGTAAGGAACGGATATGGTTTCATCAACAGGTGAGCTGACCTTCCTATCCTACCCCCTTGCGCGCTCTGCTCCGAGCTGCAGGCTTTGCGAATTTGGGGTGGTTGAAGCATGCGGACGTAGGTGCTGCCTCTGGTGTGTGTGTGTGGGATTTCTGTTTTCCTTTATGGCCGAAGGGATTAGTGGATCTAGAGATTGTCTTTGTTTTGCGACAAATGTTAATCTGAACTGAACTCCAAAGGCAAGTGGAATGAGGGATCCATCTCCTGACAGGGCATGCTGATGAAACTAAGATCCATATAATTCTGTTGGGACTCCGGCCCACCACGTTTTTTATGCTTATTGTTTTATACGTTGCCGGAATTGGTATTTGAAACTGTGACCCATGGATGACTATGTAGGTTATTACAACCGGTTAACCTTTGGAGGTGACATGATTTAACAATGCAATTATGTGAGGTCCGGTCAGATTGCCTTAAGGTGATAGTGCCTTTGTTTAACGTTTCCACATACACTGTTTGAAATGCCTTCGATGAATTTCATTTTAGGACTGCTTTGGCAACAAGAGCTGTTTTCTTTTGCTCCTAGAGTAAGTGACAGCTGGAATAAAATGGCCCTTGCCTTCCTCAATAATTATTTCTTCTACTCCTTTGTCCCCAAAGCCTATTAGGTAAATTTTATCAAAGCTCTGCTTGTAGCTTTAATAATCAAAGATGCCTTAGTCCATGCTAACAGCTTGCTTTTTATTTGAAGGCAAGGGTACAGACTACACCTTCAGGGATAATGCTTAGGGTTGGTTGCAGCCACCGTAGTGGTAAGGTGCAGTTTGCTCAGTGCTCTGCACGGGCTCCCTTGTGAGCGAGGCATCATTTTCAAGATGGCTGCCAAGGCTAGTAGTGCAGTTACATGGGTGTAGTGCACCCTGTGTGCTAGTAGGAGGCTCAGCATCTTACATAGTAGTCTCAGTAGTGACACCCTACAGTCGTCTCAGCATTTTCTTAAATCCTTACTTTAGAAGGCATTAAACAACTAGAGGTTTAAAAGAACACAAGAAGTAATACAGAATGCTTGTGAAATGGACAGCATTGCAGAAAATCAAATGAGCAAGATCAAGTTTAAAGACAGACATAATTGGCTGATGAAAACCATTCATTACTCAACCATACAAGTATTGTTGGGGAGAGCAAAAGAAATTGTAAGTACTGATGGTCTGCCTTCCACGTTTGCAGTTGTGGGGAAATACTTTGTTCCAAATCTTGAGGAATTTTCCATCTGTTCTTACACTGTCTGCCTTCCTGTGACAGGCCAAGCCTACATTTTTATCAGTTTTTTGATAATGGGTTACCAGTGAGCAAGGAAGGGAATACTTTGGTGCTTATATTTGACCACTTTTTAGTTGATTGATCTCTTAACTTGTTAGTATTCCCATCTTAACCTTTAACAGTGATTTTTGAATTTGTGGGCTTACTTTTTGGAAGAGTATATATTTCTGCGCTCTTCCTACCCAGCCTTGGATTCTCTGGGTCTAGGGTACATTTTCAATAAGAATTCCAGGGGATTATGGCTTGTGGGTAATACCTTGAAAAACATTGCTTTTTCATCTTAACCCAATATAATCAAAGGATAGCACTGGTGTACACTGAAGGGACTGTAATTTGCAGCCCTTTCCCTATAGATTATAGTTTGTGTGTGTTTTTAAAGTTGTAGCATGTGTCTTATGTTTTGCTGTATTTTGCTAAGTAGATATAGGTTATAATCTTTTTGAAGTGAATAATATTCAAGATGAAAGAGTAGTTCTTTACATTTCTAAATTTTTATTTGATGAGATGCCATTGCTTGAATATTTCTGTCCTGACTTGCAATCAACACAATTGGTCATCCTCTAGGAAGTTAAATGTAAATTGGTTTTTGATGATCCTTTGTTTGGAATGTCCAAACCTCAACTATTCTGTCAAATTAAGTGGCTCAAATGTGCTTTATATTTCTAAATTAGTTGTTTCAATGATTCTGAGACTTGAATAAGACACTCTACAATCTGACTGTGGGTAAATCCAGGAGAGGTTTGCCTTGATTAAGGGAAAATGTATGTCTTAAAGAGCTAAAGTTCTTGAGGCTAACAGTTGGTTAAGTTGTAGAGCCACCTGGAGACATGGGGTTGGGGAGGGCAGGGGACACTGCCTTTTCATCTGGTTTTTCTGAGAATTTCATTTTGTTTGTATACTGAGTTTGCAAAAGATAATTAGATAAATGTGACCAAAAAACTCTTGTTTGCCCTTCTCCCTCCCCCCTTTATTTTATTTTATTTTTTTAAATAATTGATTTTTTATAGAGATGGGAGAGGGATAGAGAGCTAGAAACATCAATGACAGAGAAACATCCATCAGCTGCCTCCTGCACACCCCCTACTGGGGATGTGCCTGCAACCAGTGTACATGCCCTTTGACTGGAATCGAACCTGAGACCTTTCAGTCCGCAGGCCGACGCGCTATCCAATGAGCCAAACCGGTTTCGGCCTTATTTTTAATTTTTAAATTTTACTGTGAAAAACTTGACTCGAAACTGTTAAAGGTGACATTAGAAGGATACCACATGGGTCAGTGGTTTCAGGATTTGAATCTCTGCTTTTTTAAATTAGAAACCTGGTTTTGTCTTTTGCTTCTAGCTGTTGTGGATTGATCCATGTTTACCAAACTCATAAGGTTGTCATGAATCAGTAAAAATTTATTTTCAATGGGACACATATCTTTTATAATGACCAGAATAGGAGTACTTTTCTGTTTTCCAGGGTAATTTTTTACTGATTTCAGAGTAAGAGACAGAAAGATCAAGGATGAGAATCATTGACCAAATGCTTCCTGCACACTCCCTGCTGGGGATCAAGCCCATAACCTATGCATGTGCCCTGACCTTGGATAGAAAGAACCATGACCTCCTGGTTCATGTATCAATGTTGGTTCATGGACAATACAGTGTCTTAAAAAGAAATGTGATTAATTTCTGTCATTTAAAATTCAGGAGGTAGCACCGAAAATACTGAGAATTTTACCTTTCGGGCCTATAATCCCAGGCAAATAAAAAGATCTTCTGGCTGTGAATATATCACATTTAAATGAGCATCCTGTTATATTGAAATTCAACCAATCCAGTAGAAGACACCAGTTTCCCTTCCTGCCTGGCTTTTGTATATGCCTTTGAATGTATTACCCATGAGGTAAGAAACAGTACTTAGGTTATTCCTCTTTACAAAAATACTGTACTTAGTCGTAGCTGTCAAGTGTGTTCTCTCTTGGCAGGGGTGGGGGACCAATCGGTGTAATCCGCAAGCCTTTGAGATATAAGTACCATTCTAAGGCACAGAGTAAATTTGTCCCAGGATGAGACTAGATAGCAATTGGCAGAGCTGGGATTTGAACTGGATTTCTGACTCTGGAGTTTGGGAGTGTTATCTCCTCTAGTCATCAATTATCTGTAACCACATAGTTACAGATAATTTTTAGGGTGGCTATTCTTAGCTATTTAGTTTTTCAATAAGCTAAATGATATCTAGCATGTCACTGGAGCTCCTGTGTGCTGACTACTAGTCTTTAAATTGAAAAGCTCTACTTTTCACTGCCTGTTTCATGTAATTAAGAATTGCTATAACAGTACCAGTTGAGCCTACAGATTGGCTTTACAAATTAAAGAACTTGCTTAACAGTTAATATTGGGATGCAATTAAGGAATTAAAGAAGAGAACATCGGGCCTTAATTTCACTTCTGAATCTTATTTTGTTGATTTTGTATGGCTGGTTTATGTTAGCCATCGATCTGGATGAAGGCCAGAAATCTTCCAGAGTTCACCAAGTTGCTGATATGTAAAATCTAGAATAGACAAGTAATGTATTCACTTTCTGCTTTCCTAGTAGGGCCTGTTATTGCTGAGTCTCCTACCCTTCAAATCTTAGCGCATGGAAGCACTCTTAACAGTTGATAGCTCAATTTGATGGTTCCTTTCAGATTTAATTCATTGGAATTAATAATGGTATCCAAAGTATATTTCTATTTTGGGGGGACACTCTGTAGATTATATATCCTGGAGTTTGTGTAAGCAAAGGATTATAAATTAATTTATGCAGTTGGACAAATTAGGCTGTTAAAATTGGCTTGATGTGCTAATCTGCAATAAAGCATTTCATTATGGCTAAATAAGCTTCTATAGTAGGTCTTGTTTAAACCAATCATTTTAAATCTTTGTAGATTTTTTTTTTAATAAAATATTTTATTTTTCAAGTCCTTTTTTAAAATTTTATTTTATTAATTATGGTCTCACATAATTGTCCTTATTCCCCCATTCCCATCCCTAACCCCTCCCTACATATGCCCCCATCCCCTGTTGTCCATATCCTCTGGCTAGGCCCATATGTATGCACACAAATCCTTTGGTTGATCTCTTCCCCTTACCCCCATTCTCCCTTAATCTTTGTAGATTTAATAGTATAGAAATTTAGTGCTGGCTACATGTCTTTACCTTTGTTGTGCTACCTTAGGAATTATTAAAGAGACTTCTGGTGATGATGGTTGTTTTTTAATCCCAGCAGGATTTCTTCCTTTTTGTTTGCTTATTTTTTAAAATACATTTTTATTAATTTCACAGAGGAAGAGAGAGGGAGTGGTGTTATATCAATGATGAGCGAGAATCATTGATCAGCTGCCTCTTGCTCGCCCCATGCTGGGGATCGAGTCCAAAACCCCAAACTTGGACTTATGCCCTGACAGGGAATCGAAACCCCAAACCCTGAGCTTATGCCCTAACAGGGAATCGAAACGTGACCTCCTGGTTCATAGGTCGATCTCAACCACTGAGCCAAGCTGCTGCGCTCTTCCTTTTCTTCAGCATTCTCCTAATTAAAAGTTTTTAGACTTTTTTCCTTTTCCATCAGCCTCTTGCTGACTGTGTGGTTCCTTCTTTTTTTTTTTTTTTTTTCTTCTTTTTTAAGTCATACTGTGTTCTCCTTTACTGAATGACAATACTATACTATTTCTAGATAGGTTG